ATAGAAACAGCCGTTCAGATTTTATTGTATTAATAGACATGGTCAGAGGATCCCTATGACCACTGCAATATCAGAAGTTGAGCTGATCGAGAAACTCTCGATCTGCTCAACTTCTGATAATGCTGAAGAATGCATCAATAACCGCCAAAGACAATTTGCAACAGACAAATCAATCGACTAAAAAACTGCACCAAAGTATGTGCTTCCATCTCTCACTGAACCACCGCGGTCTACTATTCGTCGAGAAATCCAAACTTCTCTACAAAAAACAGAAGTTAGCTGAACTGGAAAAAACTGTTAGGAGCTTATCCCTTGATTACGGCAAAAAAAAAAAACCGAGCCGGAATTTGATAACAATCTCACGAGGAACCATTCGGAAATCCGTGTCATGTCGAGTATTCCAGAAAGTTGGCTAAATATAATTAAGTAGATTTTTAATACGTAAATGATTTTCTTTATAAATTATAAATTATTTTTAGCATTTCTATAAATTTCGATTAATTTACAAAAAAAAAGAAGAACATTAATATCAAATTTTCGAAATTAGAAATATTAATTTTGATATTACAGATTTTAGATTATATAATACTTTCTTTACGTTTCCTATATAAATTCGATTCTTAAAAAATTTATATAAAAGCAAAATTTGATATTTTTGAATTTTGTTTATTTTCAAATTATTAAAAATGTTCAAGAACATGCTAATTGGAACAAAGGATTATCTGGTACAATTTATTGAATAAAGTTGCGACATTATTTCCTCACGTTTATTTACTTTCAACTCTAACAAAGTGAGCTGTTGCTCAAATTCTGTACTTTATCCTGCAACGTCAAAAATGATGATAAAATTAAACAATTTAATATTAATTTGTCATTTCTCTAAAACGTATATTCAATAGTAAATATTAATAGTAAATGTTAGGTGTATCCCTGAAAAAATATTGTAGATGGAATATTTAGAGCACTCTCCTTGTTATTAAAAGTATGATTGCGTTTTGTTCCATGTTAAACAAGGATAAGACGATACACGGAGGTACTCAGGTGATATTTCCAAAGAACTTCCCTAAGAATCCCATTTCAGGTCTAATAGCGTTTGTTTCACTGATAATGTTTAATCGGTTTGCAATGGCATTTTCCGATAATTGATGTGGAATCTATTTTCTTTTCTTGTGAATCTTTCCTATATCACGTAAATGTATTGTACTATCAACATCATTTTTTAGTCCGGGCGCTGGCGACCATAGAGTATTTTTTTTGAGGTCCCCTCGGTACCTTGGGTATTGAACTTTATGTTTTTTGGATCGCTGAATCCGAATTTCGAGGGTACCACGCCGAATTCTTGTTCATTTTTTTGTTATTAACAATTTAGTTTGCAAAATCGTGTTTTTCGTGTTTTGGGCGGAAAAAAAATATTTTAACATAAATCTAAGCTCGGAATTCGATTCCGCATGAAAAAATACAACTAAAACTTGTATTATAAGTGCCAATTGTAAATTATTCAATTATGAATAATGCTGAGCTCGAAATCCATGCACGACTACGTATGTGGTCTTTATGATTTTTTAGTAAATTACAACAGTTAGATATTATTAATTATAGGCAAAAAATTATAAATATAAACTTTTTTCATTATTAAAATCTTACACAAAATGAAAAATATAAAGCAGAAGGCACGGCGCGACGCGGCGACTCTCTTTTTTTTTTTTTGGTTAAACTCGTCGGAGCTTGCGACGCTTGCCTGTATGTGACTGTTGTATCGCGCGGAGCCTCATTCGCCGTCGGAGCTTTGAGATACAGTACGTATTTGAGAATAGGTGAATTATTTAGTATTTTGACTATGTCCCAAATCAGTAATTTAGATTTTGACAAGAGCTTATGTATTATTTGCCAATCAAAAGATTGACTAGTACAATAAATGGTTGCGAGAAAATACGTGAAGCCGCTAATCAAAGACAAGATACAGTATCATTAAGATTGAATCAATTGACACATGATGAACTTTTTCAATATCACGTAAGTAATACATGCTACAAGACGTATGTAAACAAGGATAAAATTGCAAGAGCTGTGAAAAAATTGAAAGAAGCAAACCACGAGATCGAACAAAGCACAAGCCAGTGTACGGCAAAAAATAACAATGTTCTAAAAGAAAATAATAGTAGAATTACAAGGTCACAATTAAATCATCTGTCTATAACACCGAGAAATGAATCTGAACATAAGTGCATTATTTGTGGTTATTCTTCTCATAAAGGGGAAAAACAAATCTTTAGAATAAATGAAAAAGAGCGCGCAGATAAATTTTTTCAAATAACAAGGTTTTTTCAAGATGATGTTTTTGTGCGATGTTCAGATTTAGAAAATTCATCAGATATTTTTGCCAGTGATATTTACTGTCATAAGAATTGTATTAAATTATATTTAAAGAAATATGAAATTGTTGTAAATGCTCATTCTAGTCAAGAAAGTCGTCTTGCGGAGCATAGTGATAAAGACAGTGAAAGTAATGAAATTGTTACACACAAATTATCTGCTATTGCTCATGTAATCAATTCTTTTATTCCACGGGTTCGCAAAGGGGAAGTTTTTACTTTAATCAATGTCCGCGATCAAGCAAATGAATTTTCGAAGTCAACACTAAATATTCTCAATATAGATGTTAAAAACTATTTGATAGATAATTATGGCGAAACGATTGAATTTTCAGTTCCATCTGATAGAAAAAAGGCAACTCTATTCTATGATAGTAAAATTTCTTTAGCAGATGTCCTCACAAACTTGCAGCCGAAAAATATTCTGAAGAAAAGTGCGAAAATGATTAAAGATGCCCTTAATACTCTCGATTTTAATCTAGAAGATAAGTTTCTTGATATGTATCATCGTTTGCACATGGTATTGCTTTACAAATATTTAAAAACGAAAAATAAGTCTAATGAATTATTAATATTAAAACGATTCTGTTTTTAAGGGGTGTCTAAGGCTGATGTAGCAATGGCTGTTCGAAATGCTGAAGAATATCTGCTTAGAGTTAAGAAAAAAAGCAACTTTTCTTCATTTGATATGCTTAGATATAAAACATACGGAAATTATGCTTTGACTTCGGATTTGCCGCCCACGAGTGCTACCATACGTTTACACATATTGAGAGCATTTTACGTCACCTATTAACAGATAAATTTATTAAATCCAAATCGACAAGTTTTAAATCCGCAATTATTTAGTTACTGTATAAAGGATCAACATTTAGTCGTAAAAAAAGTTTCTATTCTCTATCCCCCATCGATCAATTATTACCTAGTTGCAATTGTCTGGTGTGTTCTACGAAGGCATGTTCCTGTCGCGCGGCAAAATTACCATGCATTTCTTTCTGTAAATGTCGCGTAAATGACACTTGCAAAAATTCATATGTATAAAAATAATTAAACTTTCCTTATTAAATCAATTAATTTCATTTCCATACATGCCTTCCTATATTGTAGAAATATAACAATATATATTAATAACAACTGAGTGCGGTCTTACGCAGATTCAGTAGTTTAGCTTTCATTTCTTCATAATAGAATAATTCAGAATTGGTACTGATTATACTTGTTTTTATTATATTTTTTCATGCAGAATCGAATTCCGAGCTTAGATTTATGTTAAAATATTTTTTTTGCGCTCAAAATACGAAAAAACACGATTCTGCAACTTAAATTGTTAATAACAATAAAATGAACAAGAATTCGGCGTGGTACCCTCGAAATTCGGATTCAGCGACCCAAAAAACATAAAGTTCACCCAAGGTACCGAGCGGACTTCAAAAAAAATACTCAAAGGCTCATTAATACTCATTAATGCTCTGGCAATTAAGTTCTTAAGTGGGTGAGTGGATGGGTGTGTGTTTATGTGTGTGTTAATATTACTATACGTTATGCGTACATACTTTTCTAATACATGTATCATTTTGTTTATCTTACTGATTACATATAATATTTAGTTAATACAATAATTATCTAAAAAGTTTAATGTCATTATAGATGTATTATTTAAAATAAACATTAAGTGAAAAATATAGGAAATACATAAATTCGTAATACCTTCACATTTTTACTCAAAACAGTTTTACGCAATACTAAAATAATGTTCTTAATGTACAAAGTTTTGTACAAACAACCGCAAATTGTTTCCAAAGAAATTTCATAAGTATTAAGAATATGGAAAAATTTTCAATGCAATTTATAAATAAAAAAAGACTTGCTCTTAAATTCATTCTGCAATTGTGTAGTTGTACGTAATTGTAATAATTAGCCAATCATAGTCAAATATGAAAAAAATATTCAGAATTCAGAAATTCAGAATTAGAAAGTAGTAGTGCTCTGAATTTCACATTAAAAATATTGAGTTTTGCATTACAACCTTATTGAATAATAATTATCCTTTGCAGTTGATTATCAATAAAATACAAAAAAGAATTAATTTTATATTAAGTTTCAAATTACATACAACACAATTAGAAAATCAAAGTACCTGTATTGATACTCCTAACAAAAAACTTTTTGTATTACCTTACATCCCAAAAATCACAAATAGTATTACATCAGATTTAAACAAAGATGTATTTACTGCAGGAATTAGGAGTATTAATAAATTGAACAGAATTATTAAAGCTCATAAAGACAATACAGATACTTTACAAAAGAACAATGTTGTTTATAAAATTAATTGTAATGATTGCAATTCTTCATATGTTGGCCAGACAAAGAGAAAATTGATCACAAGAATAAAGAAACATAAATATAATATGAGGGGAAATCCTTCAAAATATTCTGTTTTGTCGGAACATTTTTGACATTTTGACATTTCGACAACCAAATCATTTTGCCTTTATTGTGACAACTGTTATACATAGAACATCTGTAACTTGCTCAATTAATTTCAAACATCGTTTTGTCAAAATATTATACTGTTTTGTCAAACGGAGTAAATAAATAACATTTATATATAACCTAAGCACTTACCTTGAACAGCACACCTCCATCATGTGACGCTGCTTGGTTCTCGTTGCAGAGTAAGAGCCCAACCATAAGCTTTTGCATAACGCATAGTGCATAAAAGAATCAGCTAATCAAAGTTTTTCTTTTCCGTGAAGTGGAAGGAAAGGAGGGATTCAGATTGATTGATTCTCTTGCACTATGTATTATGCGTTATGCAAAAATCTGTGCTCCCCGCTTATGGGTCTGAGCACAAGCATTGCCGTAATATTTTACGACATAGTTAACTTGTAGACGTAAATAACGCACAAGCTTTGGCCGTTGGCGTATCAGCGTATGACGTGTTTATGCACATTATTGACATATATCTTTCGATAGCGTGCATAAACACGTCATACGCCGATACGCCAAAGCTTGTGCGTTATTTATTACGTCTACAACTTAAGTTTGTCGTAAAAATGTTACGGCAGTGCTTGTGCTCAAACTCTAAATTTGTCGAAACGAAATTAAAATCACTCAACCGTTCCGCACAAAACTAACCGGCGAACTGTTCATACTTTTAACGGAAAAAGTACAATCAGAGAAGCGATCACGAGAGGGCTCTGACTCTGATCAAAGACGGTAAGCGCGTCTACCAACCTCAACGACTTCGCCCGAATGAATGCCCCGGCCGGGTCCAGCGCGGGATATTTTATACCCAGCGTCGGGCTGGCCTGAAGGGTTGCACCCCTGTGACCCCGGCCCTAGCGTCCCTAGCGAACTAGGTAGTCGGGCGTGGCTCGCCCGGCCGCCGCTCCGTCTGGGTAGAGCGAAACGGAGCTACAATGAAAAGGGACAGAAGCTAGGGGTGCAGCAGCCCTGTACAGAGGGCTCCGTGTGAATACAGGGCCGTCCAAGCGCCGCAGAATGAAGGGTGCCTATTTCTCAATTATTTTTACCCTGCTCATCCTTGCCTGTGACTCTCAGAAATTACAATAAAATTTAATCAAATGTCTTGCTCGTTAATCTGATTATTATCAGTGATTTTTACAACCAGATAATGATCAGATTAAAAGTCGAAATTTTGGAAATAGGAAAATGGGCTCCATCGGCTCCTTCATTCTGCAACGTTTAAACACTCCTGATGCTAAGCCCCTGGAGCTGGAGTCTGCGAGAGTGAGATGGGGTAGTTATACGATCAATATTTTGGCGCAGGCTCGTTAGGATCAATTAGAAGGGATTAACGATACAAGAGATGAAAGCGTTTACATCATTTTCTGTTCGAATATGTATTTTTTAAATATAAATATATGTACTCACTCAGTTTTTAAAGACAGTTAGACGATTCCTAGTGACTGATTTCATTTTAAAAACATTTTTAGTTCGATTCGTTCACAATTGCAAAGACTGTTTAGTCTCATATAAAAAGGAAAAGTCATGCATGAAAATATTAAATGTATATCATGGCTGCATTCGTTTTTCTCACGCTTACTATAAGCTTCATTCTACATCTTACATCTCACAGCACATGAGCGTAAAAAACAACAGCCCAAATGTCACTCAAGGAAAGTATATTTGTCAAAATATGCTATATACGAGTCCCAATTACGAATTATTTCAATTATTACCATATTATATACAAAATACAATGGATGATTTGTATAAAAGGACCTTATGTTAATGTTAAACCATAAAAAAATTTTAATTTTGAGAGAACTAAACTTTTGTAATAATTAAATTTACAAATTAATTTTTTTAGATAATATTAAGTACAATTGAAGGGAAGTGGTATAAGAAATAAGTGTAAAACGTACATAAATAATTTTTTGTATCATAAAATTATGTTTTTTTTATTGTCCCATTGCAGAAGGTAAAGAAAATGTTCCGTTTCGAAAATAAATCATTAAAGAATTGATAGGCCCATAAGAGGGATAAAAATAAAATAAAATATAACTTGAACGTTTTTTATTTAACACGTGTCAGGTTGGAAATGTTGTCGTGAAACTGCACCCAATACAATTTCTGCACTGTACACATCTGAAAAATTTTTAATGAAAAAAATTATGTATAATAAAGTACATTTCTATTATCTATATAATAATATTTCTCCTCCTCTACTCCATTTAACTTTGAATCTTTTTTTATAATCAAATTTCTTAGGCCGGTATTCATAGTCAATTCTTATATTCAAAACCGTCTTAAGTTCAGTCTTAAAGAGTTACGAACCAATCAGAGGGCCACTTTAGCATCTTAAGACATTACTTAAGACAGTCTTGAAATAAGAACCGACTATGAATACCGGCCATAGACAAAAAATAAGATAATGAAATATTAGAGAGAGAGAGAGAATCTAGTTTGTGACTGCTTACTAATATTTGCACGTAAAGCATCAGAAAGAAGATGAAGATCATTGTCATGGGTCACAATAATATAATTTAATTTTCCAGCATTCATTTCTTGTATTTGAATAATTGGTCTGCGTGTCTTTTCCATTGTACCTCCTGCACTTTCTATTATTTCTGCGATTGCCGAGGGTGATGGTATTACACTCGGTGTGACATAAAATATTTTATCCTGTTTGTGAAAAAATGAAAAAAATGTACTTCCAACTGTGTTTAAAATATTAACACTGTTTATAATACAATTAAAAATCAAACTGCATGTTGATAAAGAATTTGAATCGATTACCTTAAGTACATTCCCTCGATTGGGGCTCGCTAAAGTTTTTTCAATATTGCAATTGAAGTTTTTCTCAAATTCCGGATCACCAAGCATATACGCGCTTTCATCCACAAAGGTGTTTTTTGAAAAGCAATCGAGTAACCATTGAAGATTGACGATATATTTACAACGTGATAAACAACACAATAATTTTACTGTTCGCAATGGTGCTGACATTACGAGGTGAGTAGCATCTCGCCAACTAGCAGCTAAAGCTCCTCCCAATTCTCGAATTCTCTAAAAATTACATTATCTTTATTCAAAAAATTGCAACAACAAAACATAATAATGATATTACAATTAATAATTTTTTATAATTACGAACAAAATATAAAGTTAGTACCTCTTGTATGTGACAGCAGATATTGGAAAAATATGGATAAAAACTGCATAAAAATGCAAAAAAAAAAGAAAGTAAGGACGAAGAGAATTAGTAGAATATGAAAGGTTTTATGATGATAACATAGGATGAGGAGAACAAGGCGATATAAAAATAGTAGAGCGAACTTAGTAGCATATGACAAAATAAGTTAATAAAACATAAAAAAAATTAATTTCTTAATTAAAGAATAGCCGTTACAATTTCGGATATTTCCAAAAGCCAAGTAAATGGTATCTATTTAATACCTTGGCATGATTTTTAGGATTTATACCAGAAAATAGTATTTTTGGTTGTTTATCAGGTGGCGGAGGATCAGGATTGCTAATGACAATCGGTTCATCTAGACCCAGAAGATGTGGATCTTTATTCAATAGTGGACCGTCCAGACGTGGCTTTTTGTATTTTCTTATCGAATTTGGACCCTGACCAACCTGTTGTACTTTGTCATACGATTCTTGAGTAATATTTATTGGCATTTTCCAAGCAGCTAGAATTAAATAGAAAATTTGATAGTTTCAAAAATATAACAGTAGATTCAAATAATATATATATAACTTTTATAAATATATCTATAGGATGACAAAAAAAGTTTGACCAAAATTTTATGTGTTTATCAAATTATTACTTATGTAGCAAATTAACGTTATTTATCGCTATTTTGGCATTAAAATGTCATTTTAAAAACATCATTTTGACGTCTAAATAACAATGAATAACATGAATTTTCTACTTTGGTAGTATTTAATGAAAATAAATTCTGAAGTGTTATTTACACACATCTTATTAAATATCAAAAAGATTTTCACTCGTTGAACTGAATACCATTCTATTGACTGCCCAGGAGAATTTCTCTATGAAAGAATACGCGACCATCGTTGATTCTTGAAGCACTTTAAAGTTTGTATTGAAGGTAAAGGTGATAATTTTAAGTGTAAATTATTAATTTTTAGTATTTAATAAGATATATATAACTAACACTCAAGAGTTCATTTTTTTGTAGATACATGTAATTAATAAACATAAAACTTTGTATAGTATAAATAAATAAGTGTTATACCCATAAGATGAGGAACTAAAGAATAATCTAGTCTGAAAGGATGAGTCAGACTGAACTGTTGATACTTTGGACCCTCAAGTTGATGCAAAGCATTCATTTGCCCGCATAGTAAATCTGTCAACCATTGTACATTTACAACATTAGTTTGCCATTCACGTGCCTTTTTATATTTCAATCCATCTGGTCTAAAAAGTTTATTTCAGAATATATATAATTATTGTAAGAATGATAATTAGTATAAGAAATACAAAATATTATATAAAAATGAAACTTAAACTATCAATTAACAGAACGATTATGAATGTATAATATAATAAAATGCCAATGTGAGTTGACACAAGTTATAAGTGTGTATTTTTTTATATATAAAATGTATTCAAAATGAATAACAAAACATATACGTTTCGACCCTGGTTCGAGTCCTCTTCAGTACAAAAAAGATTAAATATAAAAGTTTGCATATAATAATAGCGCGTACAAAATATAATAACGTGATGGTAGTATTCAAGTCGAATCTTGTAATCATCAAATTGTTAGATTTATTCATATGAATCTATTGATTATCTTGTTTTTTTAATTGATAAAGAGTTTTTACTTAAATTATAATTTAAAAAACACAAGATTACAGTACCTTCTACAAACGAGAAGATTATTGTGTCTGGAGAAGTAATTCGTATATTTCGCACCCAAAGCTTCTAACATGTATTTGACTTTTGCTCGTTCCTCTCCCTCAAAGCCAGAAAATGATATGATTTGTTTGCTACATGGAAGTTCAGTTAAGCTAAATGGCGTCGGAAAATGAAGAACATGCCAAGGTGGGAGTACTTGTTGTTTAATGACAACATCAGAAAGCCAATATGCACTAACGCAACGTTTTCCTTCGCGCAACGCTTGCACTACAGTCGGATGTTTCTGCGTAATGGCTAGCACATGCGTTGCTCGAGTACAATATTGTGACTCTACTTCACCACCATGCTTCTCAATAACTTGTTTCCAGACTGATACTTCGTTAGGACGCTGCACGTCATATTCAACAATGACAAAGATACATCCTAACAAGAATAGATCTAGCGGCACTGAAAAAACACATTTTTTTAATTGATCATAATATAACGATGATGGATGTATACT